ATGAGCGGGGTGCCGTTCATGCGGCTTACGCGATAGACCGAGTTCGCATCTCTTACCACAGATATCAGATCTTATTTTTACAATAGCACTATTATTGATGGCACGAACTACACCAACTGTTGTTGTCACCAAAGATGATTACGGATGTAATTAAGCCAAAAATTAACAGAAGAAGAAAACTTTTCAGAGAAATGGTCCCATGAGCCGTTTAATAAGTCACTAGGTCAATTTTAGACATTCTATCTATACTATACATTGGCTCTAGTCAAGGTTTCAGAGGAAATAGGAAATTGATTGGTCTCCTAAGACATAGTATTCTTTAGGGTAATGGTTCATCGTCGTGGTCAGCATCGTTAAACCATAATTTCGAGTTTTTAGGCTGGTAAAGAAGAAACCCTCTAAATTCACTTGAATGAAGCATCGCCTTAAAATTGAAAACGAATTCGACCATGAACCAAATTCCAGTCCCATACCAGCCTGTGGTTTGCTTGAACATGTTGTACCCACTCTTGGACATTCTATCCATGAATTCGATCATCGCGGTCAACCCATCAGACAAGAGAAAAGCTCAACGTAACAGGGATTCGCCAGATACATAGCAAGTTTCTGGTAGCAGTGTTCCATGATTCAATCTCAAGCTAATGGCAGCTGGCGAGGAAGAGTGGGGCTTGTCAAGTTAAGTACACGTCAACAATTATAGGTAGTGCCAACCACGAATCAAATACAGCAATAGGGTATAGTAGTGTTAATCAATAACTGCTACCATATAATCGTGGTTTGTAGGCCAGGGATGGCGCCTCCACGATTCATGGTTTCAATTTCCTCGATTCAGACCCTCAAAAAGGTTACGCCAAACAGCAGCTACCGTTGACGTTGTTCTTGATAAGCTTCACCTGCAACAGGGATATCGAGGATCAAGGACAATGCCAAATGATGGTAGCTCCACGGCGCTTATGTTAGTGCTGGATGGGGTGAGTGGCGTTGAATCCAGCGCTATGAGTTGGATAACGAGGCAAGCAATAAGTCAAGAGCAATCACAACACAAATCACATCACGTATTTACTGGCCATATTTGAGCTGTTTTACCCATTCCACCACAAATATTCAAGTTGGCTATGGGAAGCTATTTTGCGCGCTTCTCGCCGACACGTCTGAAAAAGCTCCACGACGCGACTCGCTTGGTAACAACAAACGTCGATATCTGTGAAAATGCATTAATACATTTCCAAAACTTTGCTTGAATTATACCGACCTCCAATCATTACTATGATTTGTTCACCATTTGAAGGAACGTTGCTACTGTTGAAGTATGATGCCAAACAATATGGCAAGGTCTGTGTTGTTTAAGCTGTTGGATTGGAACAAGACGAAGTCACAAGCAAACATTAAATTTGAAAAGTTAAATACTGGTTATACGGCCTACGACAGATAACAGAAGCGGGCAGCAAACCATCAGGTGAATCACGTCATGGGGCACTGGTGGCGCAAGCTGTCAGTGAAAGTCAGGGGTTGGTTTCGGCAGTCACCGCAGCTCGATGTTGGATAAGGAGGTTAAGAGCTCTCAGCACGTCCGCCAGCGAGATGGTGGAGCGACTAAATCTTTCCTCGTTCAAGGCATGCCCTATTCCCACTGTTAAGGTATAAATCCCCCGAGAGGTGGGCACCACTAAGTCCAAGGTGCTGTCGATGTATTCGAGGTCGTCAGTGGTGAGGTACTCGAGGCTGTGGAAGACATTGCGAGCATTAGCCACAACGCTAGCCATCCGCCGGAAGATCTCCTCTCTGGCGTGATCAATGTCATAATCCTGGCCTTGCCGCATTTGGCGAGACGCTGAGGACATTGGCGCCCACATCTGCTTAAGGCCAATTCGGCTTTCGAGGATCATATTGCAAAGCTTGCCGAGGACGGCAAAGTCAATTCCTTCGCACTTCAAGGACACAAATGAGCTCAAGTCAGTAATCACATCTGAGACGAAAGGACTTAACGAAACCCGTCTGTCCCCAAGAAGAGTCTCTTGGTCCGTGATGACTTCAGTCATAATCTGGCGGTCGTTGTCGTCGTTGAGCCCCTCCAATAATTGCTGGAATTCGAGCGTGTCAACGACAGAAGACATGGTGGAGGGCACGGTGGAGAAAGCGGCAGGCAGTCCGGTGGTTCCTTCGAAGTTCGAACTGAGGAGGGTGGGGAGTGACACAAGCGACCCTTAGATAGGCCCCTTTAACTCCCACTCGAAAGTCTCGAACCCCACTTTTCGGCCCCCTGAAACGGGTCTTTTTCTTGTTCCTTCCTGAAATTTGGAGGGGCAACAAACTGTCTGATTTGTCCACGCATGAACTTTAATCAAAGTCTTCCGACGTATCCTCATCGGTGGTCATGTCTGTCACATTGCTTGAAGTTAAACGTTATTTACAGTGTCTGATACTTGCAAAGCACCGGCTCCCACGTCTTTAGGGACATTATTATGTTCGGGTCAGTAGAAAATTCAGTACATGTTCATCTTGTTCTCAAGGTCTTTTTACTACGACTCAAAGCAAAAGAAAATTAATACATTAAATACCAATAACATACTCATTAAATTGGAGCGGGTGACTTAAGGTAAAAGTTTGCGTCCAAATTCCAAACTCAAAATGCAGTTACTTTTTGAGTTAAACTCTGACGGCACCCCAAAATAGACCCCAATTTCATAACTCTGTACTAGCTTTTCGCAAAAGGGGGGGGGGGGGGGGCCA